TAGTAGTAGTAGTAGTAGTAGTTCCTCTTAAGAATCAAGATCCACCGAGCCGCAGAAAGAACATGCACAGGTGCCGTGGACCAGTCCTTCCCAGAGGGCATCCGTGCGATATTGATTAAAAACGTGTCGAGCTCTTGCTTGCCTGATGCAGGACCAACAAGATGTTGGTTTGGTCCCTGCTGCTTGCCACAAAGTTGATCTGACTCACTGATGCTGCTGCTCCTGATTCTGATCCCCCTCATCCTGCAGCTTTGACTACTGCTGCTACTGCTACTGCTACTCCTAGTCCAGCTGCTTCTGCTCCTGTTGCTGCTGCTACCGCTGCGAGCGCTACTGCTAATGCTAAATACACCTCAGCGACAACGACGAGGGTCCTGCGGCTAAGTGTCACAGACAGCACTCCGAGTGCTCTTGCTACTCGTTAGTCGCTATATAGCGTTTGTCGCATGCTTGTCACGACGTCGACGACGACTGGTTCACTACACGCGACGCCATCCCTGCAGCTTTTGTTTTTCGACATACGCATGCAAAGAAACACCGCGATACTTGATTTGCATGTTTATCGTTTCCCTCTGCCAATAAAGATGCCATTGTCTTCGGAGCCGAAGACCCCGATGCCCGTAGTGGCCGCCGTGCAGACCATTTAATTGGCGACAACAACTCAGTCAGCACAGCCGCGCAAGCACACAAGATCTGAGACTTTGTTATTGGCTAAGCTGCAGACTGATCTTCCTACCGCAGCATGTCGCGGAAGCTTTGTCTCCTGGCTGCCACCGCAGCCGTCCTGCTTCGTGCTGGCTGCTTCGTCGGCGGCCGGCTGTTTCCTTCTAGCGCCTCCTGGTTGGAGATAAGCGATTGTTTTCCCGGGTTGCCGAGCTCCCGATTTGGAAGGACGGCGAACCGTGTTTTCAGGATCGGCACTTGACTCGGTTTGATTTTGCAAACAGTTTGTTGAGCTGCTTGCACAGCAGGTTTGAGCCTGCTAGCTGCTTGTGTTGGACTGGCACTTCCGAATGCAGAGGGGCGCCATGTGTGGATTCCTTAGATGGTCATGATTCATGACCCCTAGTTTTCGCCAGAAAAGCGCTTCTGTAGCCTAAGTTACCAGACGGCTCTGAAGTGGCCACCGCCTCTGCCTGGAATCCTTGATTCCGCAAGCGCAGGCGTAGCATTTTGCCTGCAAGGTTAACTCCCCTGTAATTTCCCAAGTCTCGTGGCAGTTGATACTCTTGTGCAGGCGCCGGCCCTCGAAAGCTCCAACGGCTTAAACATCCCAAAACCGATGCGTAAGAACGTCATCCCGACCGCTCAATGTTTGAACCTCCACCGCTGTAACGCAGTCTAAATGACTTCCGGACTTCGATGCAAGCCTCGTGGTTTGGGTTGTCGGGCAGTAGGATCTCAGCCCGGAGTTCTTCTCGATCACAAAGCACTTTTCATGCGCTGAATGCCTGTCGAGGTCCCTCGCCACTCGGCAGCTCAGGCTCTGGTGCAGGACACCCGGACGACTAACCGAATGGCATTCGCAAGCGTCAAGGTCTCCAACATGTCGTGGGGAGGTAGGACATCGAGAAGTAAGCTCATGCATGGCTGAAGGAGTCATGCACGGACATGACCGGGGTGGGAGTCAAGCCATGCTAATTAGTCGGCTTTCGGCTAGTTTCTTGGTTGTGCCACCCTGCAGATGCGAAGATGCATGTACCCAATCCGGTGGCAGCTTCAAAGCATTCGGCATGCGACAGAGTCTCCTTCTGCCAACCAGCATCACACATTCGTGTGTCTAACTGGAAGAGGGGAAGCTGCACATTTGTTAGTTTCTGCCGAGCTCTCATCGAGATCGCCTTTGAACTGTCCATCCACAGTTTTGCTTAACAGCATGGCCGTTGCCGTGATGTATGCTTTGGCGCGAAAGGATCAGCTGATCGAGCCCGTTATCGATTTCGCAGGGAATGGTCGGGATGCCCAGCCGTGTTGCCCTGTCCAGTGGGCAGCGAGTCGAATCATGCGTACGGTGAAGAGCAACATTGAAATTTGGATTGAACACCATGTTCGTCAGCAGGTCTCTCACTGTCTCTCCAGCAGAGTCAGGTCTGAACATCAGACATCAGCTGTCAGCCCAATTGCTGCGGAGGCACTGCCTTTGCTTTGAGCGACACCATGCTCATAGACGCAGCGCCAGAGATAAAGACCACAAAGTACGAGGCAGGCCCTTTGTCCTGCAGGGGCTGAAACTGTTGGCCTGCTGGCTAGCTCGGGTCGACTGTCGGGCATGGGAAAGAATCTCTACTCTACTCATGTCCCAGAACGAAAACGTTGCCGAAGCCTTCGGTGAGGAGACAAAGCAGCACCAAGCAAAAACTTTTGAGTGGTCTATCCCTGCTCCATTGGCTTGCTCAACGAATCGATTATTGAGCACGGGAGATCCTAGCCGGATAGTTTTTGTTTCGGTGGGTTTCTGGGTCCTTATTCAGCCTCCACAAATCCGATGGTCCAAAAGGCACCTGTCACTTTGCATCGCAGGTGCCGACGTTCAGCCCCGGTTGCTCGGCAACCACACCCGGGGTTGAAGCCATTGGGCAGCTGGTTTTCGAGATGCAATCTTGGCCCTTATGTCGGCGGCAGTGGTCAAGCCTTCATCGAAAGCTAAGCAGCAGAGACTTGGTCACCTAGTCGAGGGCAACGATCGTGGCAATTAATCAGCGCCCAGCCGTTCTCTTTTCCCCGGATACCTTACAGCACCAGATTCACTCATGACTGTTCTATGGCTTGGGGCCTAGGGTAGAACCCCTTCAGGATTTGTGGTCGACGGCGTCATCAGCACGGAAGCATCTTGGGCAGAGTCGGCAAAGCTTCCCTTCACTTGACATCCCAAGACCGCAGGCCCAATGCTGATAGTATACTTCACGACAGTATGTAGCACATGCTCAACCTCGAGCGAGCGCCTGTCAGCTACGTCTGGTTCGTCTTCAAGTGTTCCCTTCCCGAACAATCAGTCCTAAGACCACACAAACCAAGAATCGCACGCAGACACAGTTGTTACTGTATGGGTGCAACTCGAGCCAGTTCCTCTTAACCTGAACGAACATAATTGGACAGAGAGGCAAGTATCGCATTGATCTCCGCAGATATCGTCATGACCCATTTCATACCTCGGCTTTTGCAGTTGCTTTGTCTGTATGGTTTGAAGTTTGGACGGAGATGCGGTGTTTTGGGCCCAGAGCCTGCAGCACCATAGAACCTCTTACGCCCCAGGCAGTAATCAAAGCTCCAAATCAATATCTTCTAAGACCGCAATCTGAAACGCCGGCCCAATTTGAGATCTCTCAAGCCGGGTGTGCCGGAAACCCTAAACCCTAAGCCAGGCTTTTTGTGAGGCGTAAACCCTAAACCCAAGGAGGTGTCATAAGAAAAAAATTAATCCCAGGACTGCCAGCAGCTAGTTCAGCTCTGTGAAGACATCGGCTTCCGCACTCGCTGGAGCCAGGCCGGCGCAAGGTCTCATATAATATAGGGGCCTTACTACAGTACTTAGAATAGGGTTAGGGGGGTATATGATACTATAACAAAATAATCAGGAACCCCCAAAATCCTATTCTGATTATGGAGGCCCTTACATTAAGCAACGCAGCCTTTATCATTATGTGCACGCGCAAACACAAGTATGTACATGTGCATGTGCACACACTGACATCTATACCTTCGCATACTTACACAGGCACATACGCAGACAGGACAGAGACAGAGACGGAAAAACAGAGACAGACAGACATGCAAAGAGCTTGCAGGCAGGCAGGCAGGCAGGCAGGTATAGGTAGGTAGGTAGGCAGGCAGGTAGGTAGGTAGGTCGGTGGGTAGGTAGGTAGGTAGGTAGGTAGGTAGGTAGGTAGGTAGGTAGGTACATACATGCATGAATGCTTTACATTACACTGTGTTACCGATGCATGCATGGATATGTGCGTGTCTGTGTGAGTTCTCTGTGTGTGTGCACATGGATGCAAGCACACATAAACTGATGCATGTCTGTGCGTATGTAAGTAATTAAACATGTACGTACCTACGTATGTCTGTGTGTACGCATGTCGCATATTTAATGCCAACCTACATGTGTACAATGGCACATACGGACATAAATACATACGTACATACATACAGACACAAATACATACAAATACATACATGCACACTAGCAGTTCCCTCGTTTTAGAGATATTGGGAGCAACAGCAGAGCAGCAGTGTTGTTATTGCAAGGTTTGTAGCAAGAGTGCCGGAGTCTGCTGGAGCTGCGAGAGTATGCAAGTGCAAAGTACCGAGTGATTAACATGCTTCTTCGCTCTTGTGTATGTTAATCACCCAAACCCTTTCACTGGAGCCCTGCTACACCTCATGATGATGATGATGATGATGATGATGATGAAGATGATGGTGCTGCTGATGATGACGATGACATCAGCCCTGGCCATAACAACAACCTTGCTGGGAGTCGAGACTGCGGCATGGGCGTGAGGATTCCAGGATGCAAACGCACGGCCGAATTCGACACCTGGGCTAGACTTGTTGAGTTTCCAGGTTTCTTGGACACGTCATGGTTTCAGGGTGTTAGAATTCTTGGATATTCTTGGCCCTCAAATGACTGGCTACAGTAGATGTTGTGAGCATCGGTAATCATCCTTCATCCGGAAAGAGCTGCAGAACAAGTCTCGTTGTTGGAGTTCGGCTTAAGCGTTTAGTACCGGGTGAGGTCTCCGAAGCACCCGACATTCAGTACGTTTCGACAGTAATTGCATTGTGGTTTCCACCTCTGTTCCAAATTGCTTTTGCAGTTTGAACATATCAGACTTTTCGGTACTAGAGTCCTGCTATCCTTGGTGCAGCCCGACCATGCGTTTCAGAATCCTGGGGCCAAGCTTGCACAGGTTGGCGCGGTGACTCTTTACATGCCCGAGCAGTTCTCCAATCACATTTTCGAGAGGCTGATCTCCGGCTCAATTCCAACACAGTACATTCTTTTGCACATTATGTTTGAACGGTCATGCTATAATGCCATACACTACATTAAGCCTCCAAGCGATTCTGTTAAGTTCAAAAAAGCGGGCTCCGGCTCTCCTCACTTTTCTCTGGCTGTGTCCCATGTGGAAGTTTCCGAAAATTGGGGGTACCTTATTTTGGGGTCCTTATAATAAGGATCCTACTATTTAGGGTACTATATTAGGGTCCCCTATTTCAGAATCTACCATGTTAGCTTTTGGGCTTTTCTCGAGGGGCTCCAGGGGTTTGCAACGGCAAACTTCTGGTGCGCTGCATGCTACCATACCGCCCGGCTATACTTTCTGTTGCTCCAGTACATTCCAGTCCCAAACTACAAGGACGCCCCCTTTTTGGTTGAGATCCCCTCTGAACCCTTTCTTCTGGCAGTCCTTGATCAGCGAGGAGGTCGTTTCAAGAGCTAGGATAGCAACAGAACCTGGGACCCCCAGAGCCTCCAAATCTGACCGATTCCTCCTGGCCATTGCTGAGGAAGCCCTTCTTGCCGGATCACTTCGGCGGCCGACCCATTGGGATCCAGCGCCGTGCCTCATCTCAAGACACAGGCTTAACCTGCTCAGAGAGCGGCTGAGCAACACGAGCACTACGACAGCACAACGGCAACAATGGCATGCTCCGTGACAGCCGCATCATCAAAGAAGCCGGAGCAGTAGCTGCCAGAACAAAGTTCAAAGCTGCCCCATGCAGCGTTTGCCACATGTTGTTAAGAGCTGTTATTTCGCGACAGCAGGCTTTTCGCAGCTTGGCCTGCCCTCGATGAGAGTCTAGGAGGGTGTCTAGGTTAGTCAACTCAAGCGAGTTTGTTGGAGGTCTATTTGGAGATTGAAGGGCCTCGCATGGCAATGATGCTTACATCTTGTTCCTTGTTGTGGCTTATTCTGGACTGGTTCGAGCACCGAGGATGGGCTGTGCTCAAGTACGAGAAGGGACAGTACCTCAACCCACACATCGACGGGCACACGCCAGGTACTGTCCGAATAGGCGGGGCTTCGCCAAAAGCCAGAAAGCATCAACGGCCCTTTCTGATGTCAGATCGTCATTGCACCACACGCTTGCAATGCACCGTGACTTATTTTGTGCGAGCATGCGCAGGAGATGAGTTGCAAAAAGAGACGGGGACACGTTCTTACATGTCCTGCCTTTTCTGGCTGAGCGACGATGTGGAAGGAGGCGCATTGGGGATTGCAGGCATGTCCGAGTGTGTACTCTAAACAGTTAACGGTAGAAGCCGCTGCAAGGGTCAGTTTAAAGGTGACATACATAGTCACTCAGGCACATGGGCGCACAGACGAGCGAATGCACAAGTACGAGGACGTGAAGTTGCACGCGTGCACACAAAGCCCTCGCTCACTTACTGCCTCCACTCCCTCCCTCCCTCTCTCTCTCACTCACTCACTCGTTCGCGTGAGCACGGCTGGCGACTGCACGAGCATTGCTGGTCATGCACGCAGGCGAAACAACACGTAGAGCGGAACACGTACTTCCTCATCTTAAGAGAAGATACTTTGTGCTGGGCTGGCTGGCTCTCACAGGTGAGACCGTCTTCACATATCCACAGGGCGGGACCTGGGTGGCGATTCCACCGAAGCACTCCGGCCCGAACTGCAGGCTTCTGACGATGCTTTTGTTCCCGACCTGATCTGATGAGGCACCGAGACATTGTATCCCAACTACTCTAGAATCAAGCCGGTCCAGTTCCGAGCAGTTTCGTTTGTAGGACGATGTTCGGAAACGGAGTGCCTGGTCAACAGACCTGGACCTACAGACGGGCTAGTGGTCTTGTGTCCAAGCCACAGTCTCCTAAGTCGCTTTATGCCCGGCAGCTTCCTCTGCCCGGCCTATAAGACTCGGTTTTTGCAGCTTACGCGCGGCACTGTTTTCAAGGTCCGAGTCCCGCCTCTTAGGACTGGTGCCGCCCTCTTGTTCTACCATGGGCAGAATGCAGTCAACAACCCCATGCATTACGGCGGCGATGTGAGCCTGGGCTGTTTTGAAGATTGGTTCAGAAGACTACACCTTGATGTTTCGACTTAGCATGTCAACGTTCACCCCAGATCACCCCAGACCAGCACCGAATTCGGAGCACTGCGCCTGCACCACCCTGAAAAGCCCTTGCTGCTTCAGCCTTGAGTGGTTTAATGTGTTGTTTTCATTCGAATTTAGGCTTCCTTCGGGCAGCGAGTACCGAACTTCGACTCCTCGGAACAGCCCGATGACGCACGTCATGGCGGAACAGCTTCATCCTGAAAGCGAGTTTTAGAGTCGCAATCTCTGGCCTTTAGGGAATCCGCCCTGGGCTCAAGTATGCTGCAGAGCCGCGTTGCCTCGGTGTTGCCAGACCAAGAGCAGGCAATACCATCATCACCAGCACCCGAAGTTTCATAACCATTACGGCATTACGGGTTTTATCCGCACCATAACTGTTGCAATTACCGTTGATGTTGTCATAGTGTGACTGTCCTGCTTGTCACGTTTCTGTTTTCGACGGTGGTTTGCATCCCACCTGTCGGCTCTCCGAGGAAGTCCGGCATCAAGTACTTGGCTCTTGAGCTGCATCTTAGGCTTAGGCTGCAATGGAGATCCAGGGCCAGACGAAGAATGCTAGACTTCGCCCTTGCTTTCCCGGGGGGTACTGGCGCTCCTCGCCGACTCAACGCTCCATCCCCATATCTTCGCGCACCCACTCCCCAACCCCTGACCATAGCCCGTAGCGAGTTGACGCACCGAGAGATCTCGTCTGGCTGTGACCGAGTTGCGACAGTGTAACCAAAAGCGAAGGACAGCGGGAGAGAGAGAGAGAGAGCGAAAGAGATCATGAATCGTTTGAGCTACAAAATCGCAGCGTCAGACACTGTCAGGATGTCTCTGCATAAGCGTGCTTACAAGGGGTCGTTCAGCCAGTCGACCTTGACTCATATCTTCAGCTTTCACATGTCAGTGTTCGAAACATTTTTTGGCACGCGGTGACGTTGCATAGTGATGCAGCGCAGTCTACACTTGCAGAGCATGCAGGCACACATTCTGGCATATGCACGGGTACGTCGTACAGACATGGACGACTTGACGAAGAGCCGGCCGGCAAGCTGGCAGTGGGGGGTTCTAAGGAAGGTACTTCATCTATGCTGGGCTGAAGAATGAAGTAGCAACGTTTGCATTCCAGCAGGGACTAGACTAGCGTTGTCCTGCAATCGCCACACCCTCGTCCAGTGTCTCCGGTGTGATAGATCAGATCAGACTTTGGAAGTCCAAAGTCGAAAGCTTCTCCCACTGCACAGGAAGAAGCTCGTGATTCTGACTTACACTTGCCCCAGAAACGCAGATCTCTGGAGAACATGCGACTCTTGCTAGCCACAGGTTCGCTCAGACATCATTTACCAGACCTGACCCGGTGCGGGCGGATCGATTCAGCCCGTAGGCTTCGAGTTGGCCTTGAAACAAACGAGGACTCTCAATACCGGAATGCATGTGGGTGAGAGCGAGCCATCCGTCAGGAGCGGTTCATGCGATCCCCCGGGGTGCAGGGACCGGTAGAGCAGCAATTCGCACTGTACAGGGGGCTGATCTCCAGTATCCCTCCCAAGAGCTCTAGACTACGACAATCTGGTGAAGGTCCGACAGAGATCAAAAGAGCCTTTGCATTCCGTGTTTCCGCTGAACGCGATGGTTACCCGGAGCATAGGGTCGCAACCCGTTCTGCTCGGGAAAACCCCAGGCCGAGAGCAAACCTTGATTCAGTGCCAGAATGAAGTTTCGGCGAACTTGCTCCATAGCAAACCTGCAAGAATCCACGTCCCTCCGGGTTGCGCCCAGCATCCAGGGAGGCTGGGAAGAGTCGGGTTTCGCCTTTCAGCTTTTCGCGAAGGCTTCCAAATCAACTAGAAAGCTTCTTCGGCAATCTATACCCATAGCCGGAGCATCAAACTCACATGAATATGCATATGTATGTATATATGGCATTGCAGACACAGCGTTCTCCTGGTGGCTCAAGCGGGCGGTGGAAGCCACTTCATCATTTATTAGTGTTAGTGATCAGTGCTCAGCGATCCATCTCCTAGAGCCTATGACTGTGAATCTTCAGGTCGTGGAGGTTGAGGTTCGGGATGCCAGTTGCAAGCCAGCCTGTTCTCCGTTCTGCTCCTGGCAAGACAATTTGACCCCGGATGCTGTTGCTCTAAGTTCTCGCAATGGCAATTCTTTCTTGCAGCCGCTCGCATAAGGCTGTCTTTGCGGTCTTTATTTCTTCCATTTCTTTCTCGACCTTTGCGATGTGGCAAACTACACGAGCCCTAGCTCCTGCTCCGCACGCGGACACGAAACCTGGGCCGCGCCCGGGGTGCGCAAGAGATCCTGCTGAGTTCTACCTACCTGACGACCTGAAAACATGCAAGCAACCACGTAAAGTGGACTGGTTCAACGACTTCCTGGCCAAAAACCTGGTGAGCAACCCTCTCGAGCCCGGATGTTGGCAGAAGAACAATTCCTGTGCACCCTTCCCCTGCTCCAAGCTTTGCGAGATGGAAAGGTACCAATACCTCCGAAAGATCTGGAGCGCGGAGAAGCCAGGGAAGCAGAAGGTCATGGCCTTCCAATACGGCAAAGTTGCTAGCTCCGCCATCGTAGAAGGGATGAAAGCACAACTCGGCATTGCTGTGGCCCATGCCCATTTGCCAGAACATGCGAGACAGTGGATGGATGGGGAGCGCCCTCAAATTCCGCTGCAGGTGCAAGGCTTCGCTTTCTCGCAGGAGTGGTCTCTGAAGCCAGGAGATGAATGCTTCATTATCACGGCGACTCGTAGCCACTTTAGCCGAGACCCCTCGGAGTACTTCGAGAACATCCTGCTCCCCGAACACCCTTATGGCTATCATCCCAGAGGCGTCCGCAGGTACAACGACACACCTCCAGTGGGTACCGACAAGAGATGGACGGAGGCAAAGATAACGGAGCTAGGAAAGACGAACGTGGCTATTTTGCAAGAGGATTTCCAGATTCAGCATGAGATTGTCATTCAGGCATACTCAAAATGGTACTCAGAAGTGTTTTTCGGCGCGACAGGTATAAACGTATTGAAGCAGAAGTTCGACCGGCATAAGAAACAGATGCTGGTGCGTGCGAAGACATGCCAGGTGTTGGTGCTACGTTTCGAAGACATAAGCGAGTGGAGCAACATCATTGGACAGTACTTCCCTGGCTTTCAGATGCCGAAAGGTGCCAACAGAGCTGAGTTGAAGTGGTATGCAGACGCCTACAGAAACTTCAAGAACACCCTGGAATACAGGCCAGAGGAACTGAAGGCCATGTGTGAGACAGAGACGGAGACCCATTTCTATGCAGACGATCCTTCGTCCGAATGTGCTGATGCTGACTTTTAGAGAAGCTACTGCAATCCAACGCTTGGAGAGCCTTAAGGGCCACCATAGATCCATGCTTTCACAGTCGACAGCTTCGAAGGCTTGACTCCCAAAATGTAAGCCGGACTTAGCATCACCAATGTCAAGCTGCAGTACTTCACGTGTTTTCTTTTCATCTTCTGCTCCGTATAGATTCTGCGCGGTACCCCCCTTGCCCCTGAAGCTCTCGTGAGATGCAGCCTCACCGAGAGTCAGCCCCAATCTGTCGAAATGCGTTACATGCGAAGCCCGTGCTTCTGACTAGGGCTTCTGGTCCTCGTTTGCTGTTTGGCCGAGATCAGATCTTGGGCTCAGACTCTTATACACAAACATGGTGTCGAGCATCCCAGCCGGGGCCCCTCGAATTAATTTTCTTCGCATCTGGAACCCATCCCTTTCTCAACATCTCGCGACTCTGGGCCCGGAGTCTTAGCAGCTCACGCCTCCAACAGCGAACTTCGAAGCCTCCATGAGTGGGTCATGCCAGGCTGCGCGGAGTCAGGTGCCAACGCCCAGCCGACAGGCTTCTATGAATTCTCATTCCGGGCGTGCGTGAACGGTTATGCCTCTGGCCCGATATTGCAAAGATTTAAGACTTGGAGTTGTAGTTTTTGAAGTCATCGCATGTCATAGCTCTCAGCCGGAACATTGATTCCGTCGCCAAACTCATGCTGTGGCGCATCATGCTTTCCGGCCTGGCTTAGACACATCACCCAACTCAACCTCAACACTGAGCACCGTCCGAACGCGTTGAACAGCGTCCGGCAGCAGGTGCACCAGATGCCTTCGCAGCTTGCCCAGAAGAGGGAAGAGTTGGGAGTCTGAAAGTACAGTAGCTTCTTGGTAAAGGTGCTGCCAATTGGTTATAAGGGGGTGGTCTTGCACGAACGGGGCTGAGGCGGCCGCGAACTTCGTAATGATTGGTTGACCACTTCAGATCGCAAACTTCGTGCACGCCGCGCATTCCGGATGTCATGGATATAGGGCATCACAGTTTCAAAGTCCCGGAGGTTTCGAGGAAAACTTAGTTTCGGGTGGTTCAGGCTGGTCATGACGTCAACAAGCAGGGTCACGCAGACGCTGTGCAGGGCTTTCAGGTCACATGTTGGCGAGCTCTCAAAAAGCTGACTGAACCAAGTGCTCGGAACTCTTTCGCCCTGAAGCCCCCATTCTCGCGAAGCCACTGTATGCCCCAGCATCTCAGGCCTATTCTCCTTCAGACCTTGCGTCCTACATCTCGTCGTAATGAATCCCGACATCCGCCCTCTTCTTGCATGCAGAGTTCTGTGCATTAGGCTCCAAATTTCGGGGACAAGCGCTTGGGTTTTCTGCTGCTAAGCCTCTCGCAACGGTCCGGTCTGACCCCCAACCATCTTGCCGAAGCCCTTCTCTGGAGCCGAATCTGCTGAGATGCAGTCCTCGTGACAGGGCTGAAGCAATGAACGTTACCATGGACCCCTAAGCTTTGCCAGTTCGCCTTCTGCTGTGAGAATGGGCTCACCTTCCCGGTGGTCCCACGGCCGGCAGAAAGTGCCAGGCCGGACTTTGAGCTGTCTTGAGCTTCAGAGGCTTTTTTTCCCGACGACGTAGGGCTTCAGGGGTGCAGGGTTCGTGCTTCGACATTTCGCATGTTGAGGTGCAGCTAGAGATTAGGATGACCTGAAGTTCCCAGAGTTGAGGTACGTGCCAAGTTGAGGTTACAGTAGTGAAGCCTATGACCTATGAGTGTTTTCGAATCTAGCTTGTCCGTCCACTCTTGTGAACCTTTCGTAGCTTGCTTCAACCTTGTGGCCTGGGCTATTTTAAAGGGGCTTCAGAAGTGTAGGGAAGGGCGTCCTCGATCCGTCGAGCGTCGATGCTGCGCTTCGCCACTAACCCACCCGGCCTTGACCCTGAGGCAAGCAATGCCGTCGAAACCCAGAACCTTCAGCATCAAGCCGTTGTAGTGTGCAGTCAGTAGTGGCCGTGGTCACGCGACGAGCTTGTCTTCTACTTTCACTGCAAGAGGCAGACAACCGCCCCCTAGTGCAGCTTAGTCTTGAGCCCGCCGACTGCTTCTGAAAGGCTCTCCAGGCGCGCGAGCCGGAGCCTCGGGATGTGGGACGATGCGATAGTTTTTTCACGGTCTAGCCACTGTGGTATTCAATCCTCTCGGCATGGCTTCCGCAGCATGATATCGAAGTGCTCAGAAGCCTAAAAATGATAGGGATGATCCCCATCTCTTCCGCACAGACTTAATCAAAACGTGATCGTCGAGCCTGATGCAGAAGTTTCAATCCTGCACTCTCAACACCATTGCAGCAGTTCAGCAGCTGTCCGTGCAGAATGATCCCGTCAAGACAATCTAGATTTCTGTCTGATGTCTCAGATCATGCACATGGAAATCAGAGGCAGCTTCTTTCCATCGGCACAGAATGGTTGGCAGCAGGTATATATAGGGCAGACTTTGCGCAAGCCATGTTGCAACTCTCCAGTCCACCGCGTGTGACGCCATCGTTGCGTCCGAGCCAGGCGAGGCCGGGTTTGCAAGCTCACCGCGTCAACCGGCCCGGAGCAGCCCCAGCATCCTTGCCACCTTGGCAAAGACTTTTGATGTGCGGATGTGTGGGCCGGTATGCCCGGCATGGGGTGTCACGGTCTCGCGCAATGAGAACTTGCAATGCAGCCACAGCCGTGAACGAAGCATTCGAGATACGCTCACTTGAGGGGAAAGGCAAAGGGGTTGTCGCCAAGAGGAGGCTACAACAGGGAGAGTTGATACTGCAAGAGCCACCCTTGCTGATACTGACACGTGACGAATTGGGAAAATTCGCAGATGCGGACATCGAAGAGCGCCTGGCAACCCTACCTACGGAGGACCAGGAATCTTTCTGGGAGTTGTTCGATGCGCAGATTATCAAGGGCGAGGGTCGAGGCTCCGCCAAAAGTAGAGTGTTGACGAACAGTTATCCGGTGGAAGATGAAGTTGGACAAGAAGCTGTTGCTGTTTTCAACACCATCGCGCGCTTCAACCACAGCTGCGTGCCAAACGCTCACAACAGCTGGGATGCTGAAACTGGTGTTGAAACCATCTATGTTACTCGGGATATCGAAGCTGGACAGGAGATATGCACGACCTATCTGGACCTGATTGCAAGAAGGGAAGACAGACAGACAGAACTGTCGAAGCGACTGAAGTTCATGTGCACCTGCCAGGCATGTAGCCTGAACGGACAGCTCCTTGAGGAAAGCGACGGAAGGCGGACACGCCTCCATTCTCTGTTGCTTGGCTGGTGTCTTTCTAGACCTCATTAGTTGAATCAGGTACATATCGGTTGCACTGTAGAATTGTCCTTCGTGTGTTGCCTTCAGATGCGTAGGCCTGCCCCCAATGGAGGTGGGTTGCCTAAAGACCGAACGACCCCTCCTGTCCGCTAGCCGCTAAAGTCTTGGAGAAGCAACCGAAGCCAAAAGGTGGCACGTAGAGTAGTTAACTCGGGTTTCGGGCCCTTCATGGCAGAACCTAGGTGGGAACAGCTGGAGGCTTTTCCGAGCGGAAACGCTGACGGCCTAGTGACTGGCCTACTTCAGCATACGCCTTCTTTGAGCCCGGTACATATAGTAAGCCCGAGTTTCGTGCTGATGTTCGCTTCGATTCTGTGACATGGCAGGGTTTCTAATTAGTACCCAAGCTTTTCCACGATGCAAAAGACGTGCCAGGAAGCCTGTTCCTTTGTCGGGGGTAACCTCTATCGAGAAAATGTGAAAGAGAGGAAGAGATCGTTTCCGAGATGATCAAGCTCATTGATCAGGAGCTTTGCGGGCATCCTGCTTACAAGTGTCGAGTGTTCTCGGCTCCTCGTCCTGTCTCGGGTCGCCGGGAGCCCTTGCTCTTATGTCGGCCTCTGCTCTGCCGCCTGCTCTGCTGCCCTTCGTGTCCTTTTGTCTCAGGCTGCATTTGAAGTGGCCGCTACCGCCGAGATGGTGGACCTTGCTGGTGAGTTGGCCGAAGCTGCTTTGGAGAATGTCCTTTTGGCCGAGGGCCCGGAGTCCCCAAGGGCGGAGCTCCTTTCTCAATGCGTCGAGGCTTGCGCATAGGCGTAGCCTGGGCGTAGCGCTTTGAAAGCTTCCGGCAGTTTCCAGCCCGCAAGCGAGAAAGGCCGCGTCCTCCCTGTGTAAGTTGCGGCTCCTCGCGGAAGATCACGCCCTGAGTAGCCCCCCCCCAGGCGTCATTTTACAAGGGTCGAACTATGCCTCCAAACTTCGGGTGAGTTTTAAGTTGCGGAGTTGCAAGAACTGCAGCAAATCGAGTATGTCGTTGCTGGAAAGGTGCCCTTTTTGGGTTTCGACTTGCGTGACACATGTTCAGTTCTCCAAAAGCATGATTGACGCTCAGGTCGTCTCATCTCAGCCTTGCGCCGCAGAGAAGCTGGAACCTCAAGAAGAGCTTGCTTTTTCATGCCCAACCTTTACGACCCTGAAGTTCGCCAGCCTTGCTCCGGAACCCGTGACTCTCTGAAGCGACATTGCATCAGAGTTTCAGGCGGTGGTTTCGTGATGTATTATGTTAAGGTGCACGGTGCACGGCGGGTTGCTTGCGGGAGGTAGGAGAATGATATGATAAGATCAAAATCTTTATGTAGACACAAGAAGCGAGTGACTCTCAGTACATAGATAAACATGCAGCAGTTTCTGCCAGGCAGAATAAACTGAAGCAATAGGCATTTTGATCCATTTAGATGCCCCAGTGTTTCGGTTTCAGGGTTCTTATGTTTCAACCAAGTCATCTGAGGACGCGGCACCCGCGACGTTTGGGCGACCTTGGGCAGCCTCTCTTACTGCCGAGCCGTAGCCATTCCGCGGCTTACCTGAACTTCATGTGTATCGAGGACCACATTGCAGGGCTTAAACCTAAGACTGAAAGCTGTGATCACAGAGCCCTCATCCTGTCTTCCAGTCACCACGAGTGCTCTCAAGGCCTGTTTGCCCATGCTGGTAGCCAT